GGGGATAAAATGGAGGAGGAGAAATTATGTAAGCTGCCTTGAGCCCTTTGCAGGAAAAAGGCAGGCTATAAATTGAAAAATAAATAAATAAATTGAAAATAAAATAAAATAAAATATTCTAGTTAAAGGCCTACCACAGGAAATTGTCATTACCAAAATGGGGGGAAGGCAGAAGGGAGAGAAGAAAGGCCTCCAATGCAATGTCATAGAGAGAGAGGAATTGAAAGGGGAGAGCGGGAACCCTCCAAAAGATCACCATAGAGAAGAAGTGAAAGGACCATAGAGAGGAGATGAAAGGGCAGGTCTCCCTGTGCTGTCCATCTGGAGAAGGAAATATCTCCTGTATTTCCTTGTTGCAAAGAGGAGGCCCTGTTGAGGTATGTGTAGCAGTGGGGGTGGGGGGAAGCCTAGAGATATTCCTGGTTTTTCCACTTTCATGGGGTGCTTTGCCCCTAACCCTTGCAAATGTGGAGGGCTGACTATGATCTGACTTACATATAAATTTGACTTAAAGATGAATTTCTGTTTTCTCAGGAACAGAATTCATAACGTGGGAACTGCCTGTATTTGTTTTATGTTCTGATAATAGTGGGTTGAGTGACTTGTTTCCAAGATAGGGTTTGAGGGCATATGATACAACTACCAGCAGAAGTTGCTAGAAGGAATATGACATGGGAATCCCATTTATGCTGCCTTGAGTTGCATACCAGTTGGGTTATAAGTGTAATATTACAGGACAACTGGAGATTTAATCCAGATAAGGTGGATGTTCTGTTGGTAGGCAGTTCAGCTATCTTGGTGAGTGATATTTACCCTGTTCTGCATGGGGTTGCTCTCCCCCTAAGGGACAGGGTGCATAGTTTGGGAGTGGTCCTTGGCCCAGGGTTATCTCTGGAATTCCAGGTGACTGCTGTGGTGAGGACTGCCTTCCACCAGTTTTGGCTGGTCTATCAACTACATCCTTACCTGGATGAGCAGAGTCTAGCAACAGTAACCCATTCTCTGGTAGCCTCTTGTTATTGTTCTTAGTTGCAAAGTCGTGTCCGACCCATCGCGACCCCATGGACAACATTCCTCCAGGCTTTCCTGTCTTGGTAGGCTCTATATGGGGCTACTCCTGAAGACGGTCCAAGATGGTTTTGTACTTCAGTTAGTACAAAATAGAGCAGCCAGGCTTTTGACAGCAACTGGCAGGTGTGACTATATAATGCCAGTTCTGCACCATCTTCACTGGCTACTGATTGAAGTCCAGGCCCAATTTAAGGTGTTCACTTTGATGTACAAAGCCCCAAACAGTTTAGTGCCTGGATAGCTGAAGGAGTGTCTCCTTCCATATACACCTTCTTGAGCCTTAAGATTTTCCGTGGAGGCCTTTCTTTGGGAGTTCTCTTTGAAGGAGGTTAAGAGAGTGGCTACCCAGAGAAGGGCCTTTTCTGCAGTACCCCGTCCCCTAGCTCTGGAACCTGCTCCCCAGAGAGGTGCACCTGGCACCAAGGCTTTCTTGATTTTTGCACCAGGCCAAAACCTTTTTATTCACCCAGTATTTTGATGATGTTTTTTGAGATGGGAATTTTAAAACGTGTTTTATATTTTACTGTATTTTATTATGCTGTGAGCCATCTTGAGACCTAGTTTGGTATACATGGATATAAATGTTATAAATAAATAGATAAATAAGATTTATCATAAGGAAATGTGACTGAAAACAATGAGGACTGGTCACTATGATTTTTCAAAGTCTGCTTCCAGAACTAAGTAATGGGAAGGCCAGTTTATGATAAAAAGGGCAACAAACTCAAGTACTACAAGTATATATAGATATCACACAGTTTTCTGGAAATCATAAGCTTTTGGCCTGATGTAAGCCTGCAGCTATATAAATAGTAGGTATGGCTGCTACTACAGACCTACTTCTATAAATAAAGCAAAAGCTATTGGGCTAATAGAGGGTTCTAGCAAACTATCTGTTCTGCTGGTATAAGAGATTCCCCATCCATCTATTTCCCACAATCTGCTCTAGAAGGTTGGGGCACTGTAGAGCAGATGGGAAGCAAGCAAAGGTTCAGGGGAGAAGGAAGGAAAAGTTCAATTCCAGAAGCAGAACTCTGCTAATTGTCTCCAGCAACTATTTTTGCTACTACAGTTGAAAAACATGAAAATGCAAACACTGTACTCTGGATGAGAAAAACGGTGTGAAGTACAGGATTCTCAAATCTAAAAATTCTGAAGTACCAATTTAACTTTTGTAGCTAAAACCTTAGGGTAAGTTATGTTCCAGGTATGCTGGGGGATTTGCCTCCTTTTTAGTGTTTTTTAAACTTCTCCTAGATCATTCCTTGTTTTTAAAAGGTCTTTTTATGGGATTGAGTTTCCCCCTACTATTTTGGGCTTCTGCAGGTACCCTGCTGCAGAACTTGAACGTTTTTCTTGTATTTCCTGAGCAAATGAATGTCCTTTTACTAGGAAGGTAATTGCTTTTACTTGTCACTAGGGGCCACACTGGTACAACAAAAGCAGTAGAATAAGAACATAAGAAAAACCATACTGGATCTAGTGCAGTGCTTCACACTCATGGTGGTGATCCAGCTGCCCACAAGATCCTTCAAGCAGGTTGGATGCAAGACCTCCACCTGTCCAAGCTCCTCAGCAAGTGGTGCATGCAGGCATGCCGCCTCTGGTAAAGGAGGTAGCACTTAGCCAGCAAAGCTAGTAGCAGCTGATAGCCTCCTTCCTCATGCATCTGTCTAGTCCCTTTTTAAAGCTGTCCAGATTGGCAAACTTCACTTCCCATGGCAGCAAATTCCATAGTTTAACTATACTGAGGAAGTACTTCCTATTATCTGCCCTAAACCTCTCACCAATCAGTTTCATGTGATGATCCCAGATTTGAATGTTATGGGAGAGGGAGAAAAATGCCTCCCTCTCCACACAATGCATTATTTTAAACACCTCTATCATGTTCCCCCTTACTTGCCTTAAGCTGATCAGTCCCGGTTGTAGCCATTCCTCATAGGGGAGCTGCCCCAGTCCTCTGATCATTTTTGTTGCACTTTTCTGTATTTTTCCAACTCAGTAATGTCCTTTTTCAGGTAAGGTGACCAGAACTGAACACAATATTCCAAGTCTGGTCACACCAGAGATTTGCATAAAGGAAGTAAGATCTTGGCAGTTCTATTTTCTATTTCTTTCCTAATGATGCCTAGCATGGTGTTTACCTTCTTCACAGCAGGTGAGCACTGGGTCAGCATTTTCATTGAGCTGTCCACCACTACCCCAAGATCCCGTTTTTTTGCTCAATCACTGCTAGTTCAGCTCTCATCACTGTATACCTGAAGTTGCCCAAACATGCATTACTCTACCCCTGCTTGTATTGGTACAACCTGTGTGTACTTGCTGGGGAAGAGGAAAAGAAGAGATTATTGAAATATTTGCATTCCAAGAAAGAAGCACATTTTAAAATGGCATCCTTGAGCTAGGTAACAAATGATACTGCGAGATTCAAAACTCTGTAAGACAAGATCTGGGTAGGTACAAGCAGATTTATTGAAGCATTTGCAAAGGCCGCCTCAGAGTCTCAGTGGGCTGAGGAACAAAGAGCAATTATCACAAACATTCATGAGATTATATACATTCCTTCCTCCCCCCCCCCCCCCCGCCGACCCCCCTACCCCACCCTCAGCACTGCCCCCACTTCACCATTGGCTGGTTACTATCTGGTGAACAGTCTTCTTGTATGGCCTCTTCCCCAAACAGGGGCCTTAATCGAACCGCCAATTGTTCCACCCTTGCTGCCTTATCTTATCTTATCTTATCTTATCTTGTTTTCCTGTTTCTGTTCCTTCTTTCAGCAGGATGGGTGCCTGTACATTTAGTAGCAAATGGCGTCTTACTATGGAATGTCTGTGCTTCTGCTAGTTTTAAAAAGATACTATTCTTACTCTGTTTCTTACGATACTTAATACAACCACACACTGACCAGTGTTTTACAGTCACTGTAGTCATTGCAGTGGCATGTTTAAGCTATGGTGCATCCCAAGTGCAATTTGAATAATTGCCATTTAGGTATGGTCTGTCATGTCTGAAACTGGGCAGCATGGATTATTAGAACAGCTGTTAAGTAACCCATGGACTATTGCTGGGTTATTTGAAGGTTGCTTCTTGTTCCAACAAGCCATGCCACATGGGTCTGGACAATGACAGGCTGTGCTTGGATTATTCAACTTTCTTCTGGCAGATGCCGCCCTTCTTGTTTAAACTGCAGGGACTGTTGGAACCAACAAGTGGTCTTAATAAATGTTTACACCTGTCAATCCACTGCACAGTTCTAATGGTGCTTGACCAACAGTAAAGCTCAGAGGGGACAGAGTAGTTTGATCGGAGCGGCAGTTGACATTACTGAGATGCTACGAAGTTTTTTATTTTTCATCTTTGAGTTTGTTTTTAAATCTGCAGTCTTTGTTTCCCCTTAAAGAACGCTGGGAATCGTAGTTTGCGGTGTTTTCCTTGCCGCTTCCTCACTCCGCTGGCCGAACTACCGGTACCAGCGTTAAGAAGAAAGAATATAATAAACCTATTCTGCAGATGTGTCATGCAGATTGTAATAAGGTGTTTCCCCAAACAACAAGAGTCTTGTGACCCTATAAGTGCGCTCAAGTCTACCAGGATAAATTTCAAGGTAACAGAAAAATCTCGGTGGTTTTTGGTACAAATAGACTAGCACGGCTACCTTCCGGAAAATGTTTTTTCCAGTCTTTGCACAAACCCTAAATGTGTGCCGGGAACGGAAGCGGGCGCTCCGCGTGCTCGGTCATGCGCCTCCGATTCGCACCAAGCCCCGGCTAGTTAGCACGTGCTCTTCGTGTGGGGCAGGCAAGAGAAGGCTGTGAGTTTCCATTCTGCGCCGCTAGGGGACGCCCTGAGCAGCCTCCGCTTAGTAACCTAGCAACCGCCGGGGCGGGGTGTGACCGGTAGGCCGGGCTCCGTTCCGATGAGCTCACTCCCCTGGGCCTCCGCCCGGGAGGAGGGTCTGAGCGGGCCTGGTGGGACTGGCGCGGCTGCTTTTCGCTCAGGTTGGGCCGGGCGAGTATGGAGCAGGGGCTTTCCGCCATAACTCTTTACTGCGCTCCAGCCGCTGTCGCCGTCACCGCCTGCGCTATGGACCAAGAGCAGGTGAGCCGCCGCCCTCCCCTCGGATCGTGTCCACGCGCGGACGGGCCCGTCGGGCTTCTCCGTGTGGGCGAGAAGCGCACCTGGAGGCCTTTTCTTGGCCACCTGTCCCTTGCTGTGTCGCGGTCACCCTCCTGTCAAGAGATGGTGGAGGGTAAGGGTACCCTTGCCAGTGAGGGGGCGATGGGCGAGGGCTTTTCTTTGTGCTCTGCGCCTTTCTTTGCTGGTCAAACAGCCGATCATGCTGGTGTAGGCTTACCTCAGGAATAGCTTCCCTGAACAGGAGGTAAGCGTAGATGAATCAGTGACCTCGGCAGCGTGTGTGCAAACCTTCCCCAGCCCGGTATCCGCCAGATATATCGAATTATGACAGCCATAACTCCAAATCAGCTAAGTTGGCAGGGCAGTTATGAGAATTGTAGTCCGGTATATCTGGAGGACACAAGCATGAGGGCAGCTGGCTTATGTTGATGCATTTCCACCCTGTGATGGGCTTGAGGTCCTCGTGGACTGTTGGACAGTGTAGGTTGAAGACTCCTGGGCAAGTGAGCTTAAGGCAGCTTAATCGCTTATTAAGACAACTCCTAACATACATTTGCCCAGATGCTTGTACTCAGAATCTGGGCCATGAAGTATCTTCTTTACCCAGCGTCTTTTGCATGCTATTCCTGCAACCATCCTCTACCAGTTCCAGTCAGTAGTACAAGAACATTTCTTGTAGCCCTAGTTAGGCCAGCTAAGCCTAAATTGACTAACTTCTGATTTCTGGTTGGGGGAACCGTAGTAGTGTGCTCACTTGATTTTAAAAAAATTATTGCAGGGATTTATACTCATTTATTACAGGTAGTCTGCATTCCAAGGTGGCTTACAACTAACACAAAAACTTAATAAAGAAAACCACATTATTGACAACAAGTCATTAAGAGCCTTCCCACAAGACATCTAGTGGGAAATGGCTCTCTGGGTGGGGGAGAGTAGAGTAGCAGGAGGCACCCAGTGTTATCTTCACCTCCTCTCCATTTTTCTGCCTCTGTTACGGATTTTTTCCCACAAGGCAGTCATAGTAGATTGCCCCATGTGGGAGAGAAGATTATTATTTTGGCTGTGTAGTTGTTTCAATAAGACAATTCATCTTTCTTACACCTTTATTGGAACACAGCAGGTAATTCCATGTTGGTTTATGTGTTTTCTGGAGGACTGGCATGTCTTTTCAGGGTGCTGACTGGATACAGATGATTCTCAGCAGTTGGAGCATGAGAGGTTTTTAGAAACATAGCATGGTCATTTCAAAATATTTCAGCAATTAAATACTTTTTAACCCACAAGGATGTCTTTATTTTATGCTGCCGAAACCAGGAAGACAGTTGTATGGATTTCTCCAACAAAACAGCTAGACCTGCTTTTTTAAAGAAAGCACAACCTTAAAAATGGTACTGAATGTATCTTCTGTACCTCTTGGAGGCTGGCGATACAGTTCAGCCTGAGTTTTCACAAACTGAGGGTGGAATACTTTCTTGCAAAGTCTTAAGAGCTGGAAATTTTAGTAGTGATCATGAAAGTTGTACATGTCATCACTTTGCATTACTTAAATTTATAGTAGCCCCAGTTTATCACTAAATAGGACTAAATTCACACGTACTATTTAATTATTATGCATATCATCTTCACTTCTATTTCAATATTGCATTTACACTTCACATGTATACCTACTGTTCTGATTTCTTCTCACTCGTTCTGTAAGTAGATATCCATTACAAATCAGTCTGTTCAATATTAAATGAAGACAGGTTTTGACTTTCAGCTAATTGTGAAAACTTGGCAAAGGTATTGGCATACATTTGCCTTACTTGTACAGGATGGCCTTTTAAAAGGACTTCTAAAATAACACACTTACACCATTCACAATATTTGAAATTCTTGTATGAAGGTGGCTTGCTGGGTGAAAGACACAGCAATCAGCTGTGGTGAGGAAGAAGTCCAAGAAGCAAAGCTGCACAGATGCTAGAGGGTAAATTGAATGTATAGGTGAAAGAATGCAACAGAACTGAGTAGAACAAAGCGCTCTCTCTGTGATGAGAAAAGTATATTTCTCAATTCTTGGACCAAGTAAGTCTCTTGGAATTTATCTGCCTGAAAATTTGCTGACAAACTGTTGAGGCCTTGCTTGGACAATATAGAGAAGGATGGAGTTCCATACTGGAGAATCCATGTGGTTGAATAATGTTCTCCAAGCACCACCTTCTGAGGATGATGGCCTTCCAAATAGGAGTGGAACCACTGCATCACTGTACAAAGGTGCTGTGAGATCAAGAGGTATCAACAGGGTCATACTTTCTGTTTCTTTCCTGCATAGATCATCATACAGGGCAGCCAAGGCAGTTTCCATGCCAAAACCAGGCTTGAACCCCAACTGAAGTGGATCTGAATAAGCATTTTTATCCAGGTGTGCCTGTAGTTGGCTGGTAAACAGCTGCTCAGGAACCTTGCCCAGGAAAAGAATGTTTGCTACCAACCTGAATTTATTAAGATCTTCCAGGCAAGGAAAGATATCTTCAGAAGTGGCTTTACCACTGCCTCTTTCAAGAGGCATGAAACCACTCCCTTACAAGGAGGCATTAATCACCTCCCTGGCCCAGCTGGTTGTTCCTTGCTTACCAGCTTTTCTAAGCCATTAGGGGCAAGGATCCAGTACAGAGGTGGTTGCATGAACCTGGCAAGCACCTTATTTAACTATTTAAAGTTTTTATATACCGTCCTATACTAAAGACGGCTTACAAAAAACAAAGCAACCATATACAACAAACAGCACCTTGTCACCATCCTAAAACCCATCCAGTACACTGAATCATGCTGTGCTCTGACTGGCTCAATAAATTCCACTGCTTTAACTCATGTGTCTAAGCCCTGACAAATGTAAGACATTTTTTTCCTGGATGACCTTGGGTCAGGCATGTAATAGACCCCAGACAATCCTAATAAATGGGCAACAAGTGAAACTTGTACCCACAGGAGCATTCCTCTATTTGCATTGAAGCTATTTCCTATTTTGTTTAATTTCTCCTAGTTCCAGAAATACCACAGAGCTGTATGAGAAGGTACAACAGAGAAGGCACTTAGTAGCAATTATGTCAACCACCTGGGTGTCATGCATGCATGACACTGGGTCATTTCTGTGTTCCACAGGTTCACTGGAACTTAAACAGGGATGCCAGCCATATCAGCCAGGAACCCCTCCAGAACCCTCTGGAAACTGTCTGGATCCATTGGCCTTCAGGGGTGGAGCATCGTAATAGGTCTTTCACTCTTACAGAAGGGAAAAGCTGCTATCAGTCTAAATCTCAGCAAGCAGTGATCTGACCATGGCAAAATGGCCACGTCAAAGTCCCCTACTCTCAGAGTGCCATTCTCATATTCATCTGAAAAGACCAAATAAAGGGTACGCCCTGCTACATTGTTTGGCTAATGACATTCAGGGACATGTCCTGCAATCGCAGTGGAGGCCATGAAATCCTGAGCTGTCCACATACGATGTCTTCATGAATGTTGAAAACAATGGCCTACAGACTGGAAACATTCACTATACATTGTAGTCCCCAAGAATGGAGATCCAAAAGTGCAGCAACTTTAATACCATTGTATTCATTTTCTGCGCAAGCAAAATGATGCTCATGGTGTTCCAATACAGAAATGCCTTATCTGTAAGCTGGATTCTGAAAAGTACTAGGCAGTTGAGATTATGTTGCAAATAAATGTTGACTACTGGAGTGCATCAAAGCATTTCAGAAGATCAGTCTATGCTTTATGGATACAGCAAAGCCTTTGACTGTGTGGATCATGAGAAGCTATGGATGGTCTTGAAAGAAATGGGTGTGCCTCAGCACTTGATTGTCCTGATGCATAACATGTATCATGTACAAGTAGCTTCTATTGGACAAAAAGGCTTCCAATGGGCAAAGGCATCAGACAAGATTCTGTTTTTTCTCCCTATTTATTCAGCCTGTACACAGAACATATTATAAGGAAATCTGTATTAGGATCAGAGGAAGGAGTTAAAATGAGCAGAAGACACATCAATAATCACACATCAATAATCAAAGATACATAGATGATACCATTTGCTATCATGCTTGGACAAGTCATGAGAAGGAAGACTCCCTGGAGAAAACAATCATGCTAGGGAAAGTCAAAGACAGAAGAAGAAAAGGAAGATCAAATAAAAGATGGATTGACTCCTTAACAGAAGCCACGTCCTTGAATTTAGAATGACTAAGCAGGGATGTCATAGGATATTTTGGAGGGCTTTCATTCATAGGGTTACCATTGGTCAAAGACAACTTGATGACCAATAACAACAACAAGGCAAGGAATAGGATCAGGAATATGAAAAGCGTTTGTTCTCTTACTGAACTGTGTTTCAGGAGATTTATGAGTTCCCTCCTTTTCATTTGTTTCTTTGCATCTAGTTAGTTTATTTTTGATCAAAATGGTTGTTGAGAGTTAAATCTAATTTGAGTGCCTCCAATTTTTTAATAATAAAATTTAATTATAACAGATATTGGTAATTCATCTGTACTCTCTAAAGAAAGGGTTAAATGGGGGCAGCCCAATTTTATTTGGACAAGGTAACACAGATGAGAGCACAAACTGTAGCCCTCTGCTTCTGAGAAAAATGTTTCCTGACGTTTTCCTATAAAGAAAGATGAGTACTGGTTTGTTGGTTCCTCTAGTTCTCGATGCTGCTTTGTTTTGCTCTCAGTGATCCGGCTTCCATCATACAACTGTTAGCAGGAGCAACTGGTCATGGTTGATTAAGTAGGCTCGGGGGTTTCCTGAAGCTTTGCTGGTGAAACTTTGAGCCTTGCTGTATTTGGGAACCAAAGGCTATGTGACTCCTACTACTGTTTTCTGTTTCCTGGTCATGATAGAAGCTGTCCTGGGTACCAATATTTTCATTGGTAGTAAATGTCATCTTACCCATCTGGGTCTGGTATTACTTTTGCAGAATGTGTTCCCCTTTAAGTGATGGGGCAGTAGTAGTGAATCTGGAAAAGCTCTTCTAGAATCACAGTTTTTTGCTTATTTAATAACTTTTTTTAGTTATGGTGATGAAGACAGACATAATGGGATTATGGTGATAGTGATGTCTCCCTGAACTTGCAAGGGAACTGAATGCACTGTGACCGAAAGTCGGTCAAATTGTATTAGTTGAAAGTATTAAAAGTTGTAGTTCTTCTTAGCATGTGTGAAAGAAGAAAAGTATAATTTTGTTTAAAATGATATTATGTACTTAAATTATGCAAAATGTTTTCTGTTTGCTGGTTCTTATAACCTCTTAGTCCAAATCTCAGCATAGGTATTATTGGGTGGCTTTGAGCAAGTTGTTTGTGTCTCAACCTTACTTCTAGATGAAAATTCAAAAGTATTGTTGGGGATAGATGAACAAACTTTGAAAACTAAAAGTGCTCTACATATAATTAATTTCAGATGAATATTTAACAATAAGTGACAGTGTTGAAGTCCCTGTGGAGCTGGAATATTCTTTCAGGAGATTTAAATTAGCTGTAAGAAATAAAAATGCACTATTTAGATGACTGCTGCCTCTGCCTCGAAGCTGTGGTGATGAAATAGACCAGTTGTAAAACTTAAGGAAAAATATTTATAGTGGTCTGATAATTTTGGACTTATTGGGGAACTATTTCTTCTTTATGTTATGGGTACATTTGCACCTGAATTTTTTTCTCTTCAATTGCAGCTGCATGCAAATGGTGATAGAGGCTTTGAGAATGTGGAACTTGGTGTCATAGGGAAAAAGAAGAAAATTCCAAGGAGGGTCATTCACTTTGCAAGTGGTGAAACCATGGAGGAATTCAGCACAGATGAAGAGGAAGATGAGCAGCAGGAGAAGAAAGACCTCTTGCCTTCTGTTGATCCAGTAGGTTTGTTTCTGAAGTTCATTTGCTTCATATGATTAGCTAACATCTTATATGTGACCATTTTTTCAATTTCCAGAAATAAAAATATGTTTTGTTCTGTTTTAATGAGTTTATATAGAAATTGAAATTACTATTTATATAAGCCATCCTGAGGCCTTTGCGACAGGATGGCATATAAATATTCTAAATAAATAAATGAATTATATTGTTATAAGTTGGGAGATTTTTTTGGAAAGTACAGGGGTACCTTGGCTTACGAACTTAATCCGTTCCACGACTCTGTTTGTGACCCAAATTGGTTGTGACCCAAGTCAAATTTCCCCATAAGGTTCAGTGTAAATAAGGTTAATCCGTTCTGTAACTATTTTTTTTAATCAGAAAAATTGAAACGAAGTGACAAAGAACAACAAAGTAACAAAGTATAGTACAGTGGAGAATACTAACCTAGGTGAGGGGGGATTATTGTTTTGAGGGAGAGTCTCCCTCCATAAGGACATTGGGGAGATCTCTTTCAGGGGTTTCCACTCTTTGTCTCTTAGCTGCAGGGTCAATTTTGGTGAAAAATCTGTCTATAGTCACTTGTTTTTTCCTGCGCTGCATGACCCTCCGGAAAGGAGAGACCATGTTATTGTTCAACAGATTCAACCCTCTGTTTGTTACATTTATGTTGGGGTGGTGCTTCACAAAGAAACCCTGGCATGGGTGCGCTCCTGCAGGAAAGACGGGCGCAAACCTGGCCATTTCCCCCCCCCCCCCCCCAGCACGATTGCAGCCATCTCCCCACCCCTGAGTGGGGAGATGTCCAGGATCGCAGTTGCGTTCATGCAGGGAAGACATGCGTGATCACGGTGCGCTCCTGCAGGAAAGACAGGCGCAGCACATCCATGATCACACATGTGTTCCCTGCACGGACGTGACTGTGATCGTGGCCGTCTCCCCACTCGTGGGGGGGAGATGACTGCGATCTTGGTTGCCACCCAAAGCAGAGTTCGTGACCCAAGTCAAAATTTTCATGAAATTTTTGTTCGTGACCCAAGGCATTTGTGAGCCAAGGTACCACTGTAAATCCAGTGTTGTACAACTGTTATTAGGAAAATAACAGTTGTTTCAGCCACAAAACATTCTACTATCTTTAATAAGGGGATAGTTCCCACATAATTGATATGGCTGTTTTAAAGATACTGAGATAATGAGCACAAGTAGACCACCATTTACACAATGCAGCTTTCTCCTTTGGGTACCACCAGAAAACTGAGTGACAAGAGTCTCTCTGGAATAATGTGGTGATGAGAAAGCAATGGCAGCTTGGTAGGAGTACTCTATGCAAGATTCAGGATCCAAACTAGTGTACTTATATAGAGAATGGATAAATTTACCTTATATTGTGAGGACTGTTAAACATTTTGGTTGGTCTATATTACATTCTGATTATGTTTTAAACTAACTGTATTTACTGAATTGATAAAATTTCAGTAGTATTGATGTAGGTGGCTATATTGCCAAGCTGATTCTAGTGACTCTGGAAAAGCATACAAAGCATACTTGGGGCTGAAGGGAAAATTGGAAAAAACTGCTGCACCACCCCTTCTTTTAGAGGAAAGCTTTTGTTGGGTCCTGTTTCCCTCCATCATCAGAGGAGGACCCTTCTGTTAGTGGAAGCGGCAAGTCTAGATCTAACTCTGTCTTGTGTATTCTAAGCAAAGAATTCTACAACCTTATATTCTTCGGGTTCTGCTTAGCTCTCTCAGATGTGAATTAGGAATATTAGGGGAAGGAGACAGTTGTGTCATTTGAATATGGAGTGATCTGATGGCCTCAAACTCAAGTTCTTGCCCCTCCAGCATGACCCTTTTCATCCCCTCTGAAGTTGGTTTGCAAACTAGATAGTTAAAATTGCTGCATGCTGTAGTTGGATGCTTCCACTTGCATATTAGTGTTTCTCAGCCTCCCATTACTTTGTGTCCCATTAACAGTCCTAGTTGAAAGCTTGTGGGAGGATTGGGAGTCTGTTGAGTGTGCTTGAACATGCACACTTAAGATTCTGACCTATCCATTAAGAAAGTGATTGAGACTTGTATGTGAATTAACTTGTGCCTGCTGTTGTAATTATTCATATTTAGTTTTAAATTCTGCTTTTAGATTTTGTAGTGAAAAATTTCAATGTTTAATTGTTCCTTGTATTTTATTCTGTATGTTCTTGTAAATCATTCAGAGAGCTTTGGCTATTGGGTGATATAGACAGTAATTAATAATTAAAATATAAGCACATGTCTGCTTTCAAGAATGAAGAATCAAGATGAATTTATGCATGTCAGAGTCAAAATGTGATTCTGAACTAATGGCTTTCTCAGTATTTAAAAGCTCTGAAACCTCTATTTTAAGGGGGTTATTGCTTTAGTGTCAGTTGGAGAAGTGCAGTTCATTGTCCTTGTATTGTAGCTGTTTGTTTGCTGGTGATAAAGCTTTCTAACAGTGTAAAGTGCTTTGCTTTCAATCTTGTCACATTAATTTCTGTCATTTCTTATTTGCCCTCACCCCTAACATCTCTCTGAGTGCTTTTTTCTGGCTGAACAAGTACAAAAGTGGTGGCCATTTAAGTGATTGACAACTTTGTGTTTAGTTAATGGGCATGGGGTGCTTCTCTACAGAAAGAGCAATCACATGTGCTTTATGTAGGCAGGAAACTTCCTTCTGCCAACCTCACATGGTCTGTTTCTTGGCTTCCTCAGCACACGTTTCTGCAGGACAGCTAAACATGAAAGTGCTTGAGGTGCAGTCTATTCATGTGCAGCCAAAAGCAGTCTTCATGCTTGTAGATACAGAAACCTGAAAAAAATATGTGAAACAGCTTAAAAGTGGAGATGGTAACAGAATGTGTTTGATAGTAAAATGTAGGCAAAATAAGACATGCACAGAAATACTTGCATTACTATGTTTTCAGGTTATTTAGATAAGCACAGATGTTTCAGTGCTATTTCTCATCAAGAAGTTAGGTATCTACAAGTCGCTTTCATTGTAACCATATGATTTCACAACTGTAAAATGATGTGATGTTCACTATTAATATGTGTTTTCTTAATAAGGACAGAGGGTTGGATCCAAAATTAGTCATGTGCTGTAACAGAGCCAGCAGAAACAGACTTCTCTGCTCTCTTCTCTCTCTGGCAGCCCCTATGGTAGCCCCTTCCCAGGCACACAGAAAGGTGGAGGACTGGGGCAGGGAGCTGGAGGGAAAGGGGATTCCCAAAAATTAAGTGGAGGCACCTTCTAGTAGCCCTGTCCAGTCTAGGACCAACAGATCTGGCTAACTATTCTCAAAAAAGTTTTGCTTAAAAACTGGTGGTCTACTGTCTCTCATTTTGGCAAATTGTGTGTGTATATGCATATACTTAATTATATAACTTAATAAAGCTATATATATATACCTTGTGATTCTTCCTAACATACACTCCTCTAAATGTCACAATACCAGCATTTGAAAGCCATTCCATACGGATCAATAGACATATCTGCCATACAAAATGTATAGCTACAGTATATGTGAATGTAAACATTCACTCATTTATCACATTTATTTATTTATATTTAAAACTTTTCTATACCATCCCATACTTAAAAGTCTTGGGACAGTTTACAGCAAATTAGTAAAAGAGAGAGAGAGAGAGAAAGAAGAATAACAACAATAACAATAGCCCAGCATCCAATGTTAAAATATAAACCCACCACTAAAACAAATTAACAATTAAAATACTGAAGATTCTGTCCTACCCAGTAACTGAAGCTCTCTGAAATGATAGACGAAGAACATAAATGCTTCCAACACAAAGAATTAGTTGAAGAAGGCTCAAAAATTTCATTCTTGTGGTCGCTTGAGAGTATTTGTAGGAGGGAGTTATTTCTTTATGTAAGCTGTACAAAACAGCAGTGTGTGCGACATGCTCTGAAGGCAAAAGGTGCAACAACTTTGCAGAAGCAAAGCAGAGCTGGATCTGATGTGTGTCTGGACAGGCTACCTAAAAATCCCGTTTTATTATAAGAGGAAGAAACGCAAGATATAAATGAAATAAATTCGTGGCATAAACTCACCACTTTCTTTGTTGTAGGCAACACTTACTTGGGGGCCTTATTTGTGGTTTCAGATGCTAAGAGTTGCTACATCAACACTATCAGGTATGGGTTTATTTAGTTATGTTTTTATAAACTAAGCTAGTAATAACCCTTGTAACAAACATTTGTTGTAAAGAAATGTAAACTGATGTGAGACCAAGTGCAGATATTAGTTTCTTGCATAATTAGGAAAGTGAAAAAGTGTCACTATGATTGCTTGTGTGACACATTATTTCCATTTTTGCTGATTTCTCCCATACTTTGGATAGACAAGGGTTCAGGTACATTCTAAAACAAGTTAAACAGAATAGCCTTTCTAAAGTAGTTGAGAAACCTGTTTCAAGGGAGCCTAGGCAGACTTCTCTCTAGGTCTCTCTTAGGTCAGGGTGGATAAAAGTCCATGATTAAAAAATGGATTTTAAAAATTTAAATCAGATTGGAATGTTTAAATAAAACACCTGTAAAAGTGTAGAGGTGCCTGTAAAGTGCTATCATGTCACCTTGTCATCTTGCCTGAACAGGCCTAGTTCTTTCAGCCTCTCATCCTAAGCCTTATTTTCCAGGCTCTGTATCATCTTTGTTGGCCCCCTCTGAGCCCTCTCCAGATTATCAGCATCCTTTTTAAACCTGTGTGCTCAAAATGGAATGTTGTATTCCAGGTGAGGTATGACTAATGCAGAGTAGAGGGGAATGAGTACCTCTCTTTTTCTGGAGGTGATACCTCTATTTATGCATCTCAGAATAATACATGCCTTCTTCAAGGCTGCATAACGCTGCTGGCTCATATTTAGCTTGTTGTCTACAACAACTCCAAGGCCCCTTTCACTCTCTGTACTGTTGAACCAAGTATTCCCCATCTTGTATCAATGCAGGGTTTTTTTTTCTTTTTTTTTTTTTCTTTTCTTTTGCCTAGGTGACAAACTCAGCATTTGTCTTTGTTGTTTTCCACCAAGCATTCAAGCTTGTCTAAGTTTTCCTGGTTTCTTTTTCTATTCTATGATGACTGAATAGAAGAAGATTGTTGGGAGTGGAATAGATCTGGACAAGGATTTAAGTGTGAGGGGGGAGAGACAAGCAGTGAAAATGAAAGTGAAACCTTTTGAGCAGAATACTCCAGAAGTCTTTGGATCTTTTTGTGTTTAGCCTGAGGTTTACCATATTATTTGTTTCCTGGAGAAGAAAACTTATAATGGGAGTAGGCCATAAAAGAGGCCCAGTTTGGGAAAATTTTAATGAAGTTCTTCTACCTATGGGTAAGGCAGGCCTGCATGCAAATTAAATAGAAAACCATGATTTAAATCTAGGCTTGGTGACTAGTGATTTAAATTGTGATCTAAATTGGTTTGATTTAAATCAAATTCACCCTGCTTTAGGTGTAAAAGTCTAAGACTGAATTATTTGATCTTTCAGTTAGTTTTCCTTAGTGTGTGTGGATCACATTTTAATTTTTAAAAGTGGAATTATAATTTTAAAAAAGAAAAACAACCTAGTAGTATTAATACTAATTGTCATGTGTGTGTATATCTAGGTGTTAAATGCTATGAAAAAATGTACAAAGCTAATGATTGCTGTGTCTGCAACATTGATAAACACATATGTCATTTGTTTATTCATTCAGTGTGTGACTTCCTTGGTGAAAAAATTGCCTCTGTTTTGGGAATCAGTACACCAAAATACCAGTATGCTATCGATGAGTACTATAGAATGAAGAAGGAGGTGTGTATCTTTCTGTACCTCTTTAACAAAAACAGCATAGGGATTACTCACATGACTTTTACTAAAAAGCTAACTTCTTAATATGGAATGTTAAGAATCTTACCATAATGCCAGTGCATTCTATACTAGGTTCAGTTGTTTTCATGTTCCTTTAGTTAATTTGTTTAGGACAACTCTTTTATGAAAAGTTTAGACCAGTTCCGAACCTCTAAAAGAAAGCATTAACTTTTTGGTGCTTTCATACTGACTTTATCCTATATTGGAGTGGGCTTTGAGAACATTTCCATGCTGTTTAATTAAATGGATAAACAATACTGTGAAGGACTTCATTGAAACTGAGAAGCCACTGTAGAACCTCTCTTTTTATCAAACACCCAATTTTTAATATTTGTGTTAGCTGTTTTGTAATAGGAAGTTTGATGTAAGCTTTGTGCTGTAGAAGAAACTTTTTATTGATTTTAGTAAATGCACACTTAGCAAGCAATTCCTGATACTGAAAGCCACAGATACTAGGTATCAGTTAAGTGGTGACTGATACTTTGATTGCTGTTTTCCACAAATTGTGGTAGACATGATGAAACATCTTTGAACAGAGTTTTTCATATGTATTTTGATTCTGTAAAAACAATTATTTGAAAACAGTATTTATTACTATTGCAAAAGTGTTTTTGACAAGCATATCAATTACCTCAAATCATTTAACTTTTCTTATGGGGTACATACTTGTAAAAACATGGTGATATTAATCACCTGGGTCAGTAACTTAGACATTTAACTTTCTTGACAGGAATAGATATAGGAGTATGTTAGCATGATCACAAGTCTGATGATGTTAATATAGAGATCTTTTGGTTTTACAATACATGGTTCCCCCCACCCCCACTTAGGAGGAAGAAGAGGAGGAGGAGAACAAGATGTCAGAGGAAGCAGAAAGAAGGTTTCAGGAGCAGCAGAACCAGAGTCAAGAAGGGACTGTTGTTCAGACAGCCCAGCCAGAGGCTACAGCTTGCAGTACATTTGTGAATCTTAACTTTGAAACTGAAGGAGATTGTCTGCCTGTTGTGGAAAGTAAACAAGATATTACTCCAGTGTCTGCTTAGAATGAAGATGTTGTATAACATTTCTTAAATTGTCAGAAGTGTGCAGGTTCCATTATGCATGTTCAGTGCAAAGTAATTTATTTTAAAGTATGGAAAAGGGATCACTATTAATGCCTCTTCAGCCAACATCTGTCTAATAAAGGCTAAGACACTTTGCTTAACCTGTTAGATTATGAAATGCAAATAACTGGGTCCTAAACTGACCTTTCTATGCAGAACAAGTAAAATGTCTTTCCTGAACATCTGGTGCCTTGTTGACAGTTGTGGACTGATACTTGTGCTTCTGTATGGTTTGTTATATATTTATAAGATTACTTATCAAAAATCCTGGTGGACGTTTCTTAAACTAACTGGAACTAACTCACAAGGTATCTTTGTGACTTAGTTTAATTCATTGTCATTATTGCATGGGCATGTCCTTCCCTGCAATTTTACATACGGTGTCAATGTTAATGCCTGTTAGACTAAAATACTTGTCCAAACCTGTCTCTCTACAGTCATGTTAGAAAGTTTCCTAGGTGAAGAAGCCTAATGCACAGACTATTCAGTTAATTGGCCAATCTCTGGCTTTACTGAGTGTGCTGATAGTATTTCAGGATTCAGAAGGCTTGATAATTAATTTTTCTACATGAAGATTTTCTGTATTGAGGATGGTATGCTATTAAGCTTCATGAGAAGTAAATGTTCAGCTAATAGCATTTAACTTGAATGAGTTTTCAGGTTTATCTCCACTATTCTGAGTTTAAAAACAGACTCATGTACAGAAGTACCTGATCTGAAAAGTTTTTTAAAAAGATGTTCAGAAACTGTCTACTGTGAGAATAGGGGAAGGTTTTCTAGCTAGAAATGTCTTCTTCACCCTAATAGAGGGCCATTAAAAATCTACAGTAGTTTCTGTGGTGAACTTTTCTGTAGGACAATCTGAACTAGTTGTCATAAATATCAGTAGCACAAATGTTTGTAGCAGGCCAGGATTCAAAGAACTATGTGCATGTGCCATAAAGGGATGTCCTCAACAAAACTGCCTCCACAAGCACTTTCTGGCTAAAGCTGCTAACTTTAATAGTTCAAAATCCCCCCATCCATGTTGAACCCCTTTCTTAAAAGCTTTTACCTTTGCATAAACTAGCTAAGACATTGAAATAAATTATGTCGTATCAGTCAATTCTGCCATCGTCCACATGGAAAAACTCTTCCAGTACCAGCTAGAAAAACAAAGATACAGAACACGAATACTTTTCTTCAGTGCCCTTATTAGGTTTGTGAATGGAAGGAAAAGTTCAAGTCTCGTCTGGCATTCTAAGTTTTCCATAGTTTTAGAATCTGTTAAAATAGAGATCATCTGAACCTTTTAAATATTAAAGTGTACTTCCATTTTGGATTAGAGAATCATGGTATCAGTTGTAAATGTAAAACATACTGTCAGAATCTCTGTAGAGTATGAAAAGTTCCTAAAGCTTCTCCATTAATATTGAAGCCTTTTGATTTCTCTTGTCTGTAATTCCTGTGAGCCAAAAATGTTTTTGCTATATTGAATGGAGAAGGGCTTATTGTCATGAGGTTCTTCCAATCACTGTGCCTTACCTTTAATATTTCTTTCAGTTATATGCAAATAGTATAAAGTGGGTACTTTTCTTGCAAATGCATTAAATTTCTATATTTAATATAATTTTCAATTCCAGTTGAGTTCAGAGTTGTTATTGTAGGACTAGCAAAGGTTCATTTTGAGCACAGCAGGTGCAGATGTCATTAGAAAGACCCAGTAGTAGTTGCTGGATTTCTGACATTGCCTGGAAGGCCGTTAAGATTTTTCTGAGTCCCAGCTCCAAGCTCCTATAATCTCAAAGCTGGGATGCTGAAGGCCAAGCCCCTCCTTGCAGTCTGATGAAAAGTACTGTGCAAATTGCCCCTCCCTCAGGCACAACTGGGCCTTGAAGCAGGAAAAAGGGGGCAGGTCAGGGCAGGAGAAGAGACTGGGTCTGCAGACATATACCAGTTGGCATCCCAACCTCCTGTTGCTCTCCCTCATGCTAAGTCAAAATGACTGAAGATGGCCATCTACCTAATTTTTCTGATCTTTACATTTTAAGAGGCTGATAAGCATCTGCCAAGTGGGCAATATGCATGCACCCTGAGTTTAATAATATTTATTCCCAGGTAAATGTATACAAGATTGCAGTATTTTCTTCTAGGAACTTACCATTCTTTTAGTATATGTATCCTCACATATTGAGACACTGATGCTGTTTGAAGCCTTGTGTATTTGTGGATTTGCAAAATTAATAAAGAGTTAAAGATGCTGATCTGGAGCATTTACACCAGCCTTCTAAAGCCTGGTTCCAGATGTGTTGGGCTACAGCACTTTTCATCCCTAGCCAGTAAAGCTACTGATGTTGGTAAACACATATGGAGAACATCAGGTTGGAGAAGCCTGATGTAGACAAAAAGTTTGCTTTACATCAGGATTTGCACATGTTGATTTGACAGAATATATCACTGTGGTCCATCTGACAGACATAGCATATTCTTTTCAGAGCTGCTTTGCCCAGTGGTAATTATACATCCCTTTATCTGGTATTTTACCACAAATGGATGATACTGTTTGAGACTGCCTTTCTCTTGCACATAATGAAGGTTTTTGTATAAGCTATGACATCAAACTACAAAACTGGAGTACTGTTCATGACCAATCCCTATAAATTATCTATATTGGAAAATGCCTTGCTACTGCAGGTTAGGAAATAGTTTCAATAAACAGACATTTTTTGGCAAGTCTTTAGACATTTAATAACATCCTTTTAAAAACAGCACTTGTTTAGCATCACTTGAGATTCATGTCACAATCTTTTTATAAAGCTTTAGTTTCTTTCATCTGGCACTACACTGATATGGATAATGAATATATTGTTCAGTAGCAAATGGTCACTTATCAGGCATCTCTCCATGGATACGGTCCATTCCTGTTAAATCATGTATCATCAAGATCTGTTGTGTTGTCATTATCATTTGCTACAAGAACCTCTCTGTTCTCATAGGTCCAGAAACCATTAAGGTCAATTAAAATGCTAGCAACTGTGTCTCCTTGACTACTGTTGATTAAATCTTGAAGGGAGATTTTATAAGGATCCTTAGGCTTCACCATATCAAAGATTTCATCCTAAAAAAGCAACCAGAAAGTTAATCCAGTGATTTTTCATGCAGGTAATCAAGCAGATTCTAAACTTAGTACACAGGTACAAAGAATGCTGCTTACAATATTTACTGAATAAAATAAAATTTCACTTTGATCCAGTGCTTCACTGTTCAGTTCTAGTAGTCAAACACATCTTGATTCAGACTACAGAACAGTAGAGCACACATGAATGTTTATGCATATCCTCAAAATACAGTGATGGTTAAATTCTTTACTGCAATACTTCCCAGATTTTACAAGTAAAACTATTTCAGGATGATAGTGGTATCCATTCTTAACAACCAAGACAGCAGTGGCTATCAGCTCCTTCAACACACTTTTGAAGGGTATCTAATTGGGCTAGAGAATAAATTTAGAGTAAGCATATGCTAAGGGCAGCTGCATGTTACAACTGCATTAAATTGTTTCACATGGCAAGTCTTTCAGGCAACAGTCTCACATAGGCTGGATAAGTTTTCTTCCATATACCACAGACTTCCGTGCATAATCATAGGGAAAAGCATGCCTTATAGATCAAACTGCTTCTGGAAGAGAAGATTAAGGAGTGGGATGCACAGTACAGCCGGCAAGTGTCATCTGCTTGAATTTAATTCCAAGAGGTAACTATCAAAATGACAAGTCATTTATTGCAAATTGCAAAGAGATTTATGGTAGCATGCAGAAAAGCTGCCAGAGCCATGTGGTAAGCTGCTGCACCAAGAAATTTCACCATTTAAATAACTTACTTTCTGTCCTGACCATTGAAAGAGAGAAGGTGACTTTGGTCAATTCCCTGCACTACCTCCCATACAGTTCTGGAGGATTGCATAACTCTCAAGAGGAGAGGTTCAGATGTTCAAGGAATTGTGACACACGGGGAATCAGTAAAAGTCATCTCCCATTCTTCCAATAGGAAGAGTGAAGTTAGATTGATTCCAGGTCAATAATTTTTGGGCAAACAGTTTTTCCAGCTCAGTGACTACATTTTTCAAGAATCTTTCCCTGAATTCTATCCTGTACCCTAGAATATACATCATGTATAAAATTCAAATTAAAAAGATGTAGACATTCACGATTCAGAAATATGTTGTTCAATAAAATAGAATTAACAAAATACCCTCAAATTTTCGTCATACATAAGAACAAAAAATACATAGGCTACACATCATCAAAGATGCAAAAATCAGTTTTTCACATGCTTATTAAGCATTGCACATAAAAATATTCTGATTAAATCTCTAACCTTGACATCTTGAAATGATACTGGTTCTTGGCCATGGATTTTCATTTGTTCTTGAATAGCCTATGATAAAAGCACCAATTAGGAAGAAGTTCAAGTACATTTTGCACACACAAACACATGAATTGCATCCATGATAGTTTAAACAGCACGGGAGTTGTTAACAAGTCATGGTACATGTAAGTCATATGCTACCCAGTTTCTTTAATTACCTTCATTGGGTGTGGCTTGTTATTACATATGAACTGTGTAAGGGTGGCCCAGAACCCATTACCTTTCTAAGGTGGTCAGTGGTTTGAGGTTTACCCCACACACCTTGCTTGGTTCAAACATAATAAAAAGCCATACCCAGCAAAGGTAATTAGGTAAAACTGGCAGTATGCTGCTGGCACATGAAGGGGTTAATACAGCAGCATGGCTTGTTAAGCACCCACCCTCTCACAAATCTAGTCAGGTTGCTTATATTATTAGAATAGATCTGGTCTAGTGAACAGTGGCTAACACAGCTCTGAAATGAATATCCAATGCTGCCCTACACTAAGTTGTATTTATGATTCAATAATAGCTAATGGCAGCAGTATTCCAAGGTCACAGAATAAGGTATTGCCCAGCTCCTACCTAAGATCCTTTGACAGGAGACACTGGGTTATTGAACCTGGTATCTTACATATTAGCATATTGTACATCCCCATTTTCAGCTGTTTGTAGAAGTATCTGGCCTACATCCAGTCCTTTTTGAAATCTTTTTGAAGGGTATGCATGCATGTCAAAGGAGAAACAGCTAACCACCTATTTAGTTATGTACAACAGTTCCCAACTCCTAACTCACTATGATGAAAAGAGCTAGAACTGAGGTAGGCAGCATTGTTAAAACAGGCTTTTAACCTCAGACTTTTGAGACTACCTGGAAAGTGTATCCTGGGAGAAAAAAATAATTGGAAGATGAAGGGCCAATTGATGTTTGAGGAAGGGCCAATTGAGGAATTAATCTGCTTCATGCTGCTAAAAGAACACAGCTCTGGAAGTATTTTAAACCTGCAGAGCATTTACTATAAAAGCTTTGAAAGTGTTCCAGATATTTTTTTTTTTAGTGTGGAAAATCTTGGTTGAATTATCCTACCCCTGAATCATTAGCAGCACAATACTTCTGTTTAGTAGGAGGTGATCAATATTAAGGGAGCACACATTTTACAAACAAGGCGTCAAGTTGTTTTGATTGCTTTATTCTGAATGCAATGCATACTTGTGTAGGATTCTAACAGTGAAATCCCTATTTTATCCCCACAACTCACAAATGGGCATGTCTGATTAGAAAAGGATTAGATCCAAAAGGCACAGCATTATACTGTTAGCCACTTTAGCTTGTAGAAAAGGGAAGAGAAAGTCTACATTTAGCAAACACTTCTACTAGTTCTAGTGAAAGCTGGTATGGGATCTCTAACAACATCTTGAATCTTAATATTTGTATCAGGAGATCTCTGAAATAATGATATGCTGGCAATAGTAATGATGGCTATTTCATAAAGGGTTGTTTTTATACTAGAATCTTCAGTGACTTCCAGTCAATAAAAATATAAATTTAAGAAGGGGACACTAAAAGACACATAATAGACCTGTTCATATGATGACAACAAGCCACTGTGTCTTCTGAGCTGCAATGCCTATCAGTGGGTGCTCTGCATAATCACTGCCTGGCTGGAGCTTATTGTGTTATCTGAAGCCAGGGAGTATGGATTATTCCACTTTAACATGCCATGGCAATTATGCAAATAGCACCAGGGATAGTTGAGAGCACACTGCAGCCCACAACAATCCATGGCGGTTTAGGTTTATTGTAATCATGGCAACTGGGTCAGTGTTGTAGGAAAGCAACTGTAGCCTTTTCCGTCAAAGATAATGATAAAATCCATCAACATCTCTTAGACGCTAGCCATTACACCAATTCTTGGTATAAAAAGGAAAGCTGAGTTTACTTCAAATTTCAGCTTTGGAAAAAATGGATATTAAAATTACAACAGTGTATTTTTTCTTTATGTAAGATGTGTTCTGAAAATAGAGTCTAACTTCTTTCCCTTTTTTAATATGGAGTTTTAAACACACATCTTTCTTAAAAGTTGAAAAAAATCCTTACTGTGAACACTGGTAGTTTAAAGCAATTGCCTGCTGGTCTAAGTAAAGGCACAATAGCTATTACAACACAGGTACCAAAAATGACCTACCTTTACAAAAAGCAACTTACCCTGAAGAAATAATTAAGGGAGAAAACATTCAGGTATCCTTTGTTCTCTATATCAAGCAGTTTAAAAATATACTGCAGAGCTGCAGGTTCCTTTCTGTTTTCTAATGCAAGTACAAAGTCCAGGTATGTCTTATAGTCCTAGAAGCAGATGCAATCATGCTTATTATAGTCCTCTTTCTAAACTGATTGTACAAGTAGAACATAATTGGTGGCTATTTCCTTGTAGGGAAGCAGTTAGTTTTCACTGAAAGACATCATGGAACATAAATGACCTCTGAGGAGGAAGGAAGTCTGGTTTTAAAAAGAACTTTGTCTTTTTATTGCACAGGCAACATACCCATAGATTTTTATCAAGAGCTTATCTCACAATCTAAATGAAACAAAGAACATTTAAACAACAGTTTATCACATTCTTTGAACTGCTAACCATCAATCAGCTAAAGCAAAATTTTTGTGTTAAGAGTGGACAATTTAAAATACCCCTTTAGCCAGTGAATCTTTTGTTGGATAGTCATTAGCTAATATGCAGTTCATGGCTAAAGGTGCAGATTTCAGAGGCTCTGGAGCAGGGGTCCTCAACCCTTTTCAGCAGGGGGCCAGTTGAAAGGTGCCGGGGCTGGGTGCAGGCCGGAAAAGTGGTGCCAGCAGTGCAGGCAGGCAGGCAG